GGATGGGCTCAGGGCACAGGATGGGGGGGGATGGGCTCAGGGCACAAGATGGGGGGGGAATGGGCTCAGGGCACCATGTGCCACCACTTGAAGGAGAAGGGCTGCCGGCGCACGTTGGTGCCGCAGTGCACCTCCCCGTGCCGCAGATGGTACGCGTAGAAGTCGTCGATGAAGGTGCAGTGGAGGCCCAGCGGCTCCAGCAGGGACCGCACCTTCTCCTCCAGGCAGCAGCGGTCGTCGATGATGGGCCCGAAGGGCTTGGGGATGCCCAGGTGCTTCCCCAGCACCAGCATGTTCACCTGCAAAGACGCGGGGTCCCCGGGTCAGGGGCGACGGCGTGCAGCCCGCATCACCCTCCGAGGGGCCCCCTTTTCTTCTGACCTTCAGCAACAGCAGCCCCACTTCGCAGAGGGGGAAACTGAGGCCCAGGCAGGTCAAGCGGGCTGCCTGGTCCAGGCCTCATACCCAAGTCTGGCAGACTCCAGGACCCATGCTCTCGCCCATCTGCCACCTTCTGGAAAACTCTCTGCGACTCAAGGGCCAGCTCAAATGCCACCCGCTTTGGGAAGCCGTCCGCGAGTCCCTGAACGGCGGCACTCGGTGCTCCCCCTCTGTGCTCCCACAGCGGCCGGCATGGAGCCTGGCATAACGAAGGCACTTGGGAAATACCTGTTGAACGGACGCACAAATGACCACCTTTTTGGTAGCGCTCTCTGTATACTGCAGTTTATGGAAATGACTATTTCCTCCACTATCTTGGGAGGTGAGAAAGGACAAAGGTGTTGACTCCAGGCCAACAGAGGTTCGACTCCCAGCCCTGTTACTCAATAGCTGTGTGACCTTAGGCAAGTCACTTTCCCTCTCTGAGACGCAGCGGCAAAAGGAGCCCAAACACACTGCCGCTGCTGTGACAATCAGACGTCAGGCTCACGGGGCACCGTGCTGGCACGGAGCAGGTGCAGAGTCGGTCTCCAGGGCTCAGGAGTCGTGGAAAGGCATCTCACTCCCTGGCACCACTCAGACACAGCCCGTGCTGGGGGTCTCGCACTCTGAGTTTCTCTGCCTGTTCCACACCCACGCCCTCCCCGCTCCCACCGTGGGCTCCCGGGGGGCGGGGGGAATCACGACTCTTGCTCGGGGCCTCGAACAGCGAAGGCACCCACGGTCGCTGGTCTCACTTCATTTGCGATGCCTCACCCCCCCCCGGCTGGTGGCATCCACCCTCTTTCCTGCCTGGGGAACCTGGCTGGAGTGACAGGCAGAAACAAATGCTCAGGGCCAAGGGCTTTTATTCAAGGTGCCCCTTCCTGCCTTGTTGGTTTAGCCACGGAACCTCTTCTTCTAAATAAAATCTTCTGTAGTACCTCAGTGCCTAAGACGGAAAAAAATCCCAACCGCTGCCTTGGAACCCCAGGGACCTGGGGAAACCAGTCTGATGTCCACTGTGCCGGGACTGGCCCAGCCCCAGCAGGACAGGGTAGCTGAGGACCCCAGCTGGGGTTTCTGCCCGGCCCTCGGGTATCCTTTGGAGAGACAGAGGAAGGGCACGGGGATAGTAGAAATACCGTGGATGGCTTTAAGACAGTCTTGGGGTGGGCGAGGAGGGGGTCACAGTTAAAAGTTCTTGACCAGGGTGGGATCCCCCCCCCCGAGTTCACCCGTCAGAGGAG